AGATAAGTAATGTATCCGCTGGGACCTATTTATCATCATTACAACTCTAGTGTATTAGTAGATGCGATAAGTGGGTTTCTAATTAGCGTAAGACAAGTAGCAATCTGTAGGCAATAATCCCATATTCCTAGGCCCTGGAGCTCAGTGAGCTGGGCCGCGTACTTCGCATTCAATTACGCAAAAGCAATACGTCTCTGGCTACTGGCGTTACGCTTTGAGAAAGCAACAGGTCGCCCGAGCCTAGAACACAGCTTGTTAATGGCTTTTGTTAGCCGTACCGCTCAGCCGTTGTCATGAAATCATACACTTTGTTGAAATAATTTATATGAATTACCATTCAATGGTAACAGCTAAACCCTATGATATATGTTTTAGGCGCGTTGAATTTTGAATTTTCTTGAACATCCAGATACGTTGTAGGCCTACTTGTTTTTAATTAACCACGAACTTTTTATAATACTTATCTTGTTATTATTGTATTTACTTTATTTATAGGCCTATGCCTATGCTTATTTTTTTCAGCTGAAACAAGAAGAGCTCCAAGCCAATGATTTTTTTTTTATTTCAGTATCATGTCAGATTTTTCAGTTGTAGTGAGCAATGTTTGTTAATGATGATATTTTAAAAATTAATTTAGCAGAGTGTGTCTATATAGCTTGACAGGTCGCTTAAAGATAAAAAGAACATGTTTGTTAATTTTTAGAGTACGGTATTTTCCTTTTTATAATCAATATTTATATTAGAATAGGGCCAGGCTCATTTTGTACGGTATTATTTTTTGTAATTTTAATGTCATATTAAATTATATCATAATGATAATTGATATTGATTGATATCATTATCTTTGCAAAACAAATTAAACGAATACATGCACTACCCACAATGATTTGCATTTAAGTATTCGAATTATAAACGCAAAATATTCAGTGTATTGAGGCACTCTTCTTTGGGGTTAACAACATTTTTCTTCAAATTTTAAATTTATATTTTTAGACGTTTAATGATATAGGCCTCTAAAAATTGTGAGGAGTCACAGTTTCTTTTTCTAAGAACGGAAATATGTAATCGTTATGATAATGAATTATTTCATTTTATCACTGAAGATTGGCTCAAATATAAACATAGAAATAAGACTTACATAAGAAATGCACAAGGAATAGGCCAGCATTTCAAAGTAACACAATTCTAATTCTGAATAAAGAGCATAGTGTGTGTATTATCATTTTTTCAAATGCTATATAGGCCTATATGCTGTACCATGCATTAAGACTATCTAACATATTATTAAAAGGTCAGCTATTAATGAAACAAAATGATATAACTAAAATAAGAAAAATGGCTATTAATGTGGATGTCAATATTATGAGCAATCCAATTTTAATAACTAAATATACGTTAAACTAAGATTAACCACAGTCTATTATGTATATGCCAGCACCAGTGTCCATAATACAAAAGTTCGTTGGCCTATAAGGCCTACACAGCACGATATACATCCTTACATTTAGCAATGGATGTACCGTATGAATTCACACATGGTATATTATAACACATATCATGTTATAATATATACTGGTATATTATAGGCCCGTTATTTTATATTATAGCATATCATATGTTGTATTATATTATATTATAAATTGTATTGCTATAATATTAAAAGTGAACTATATTATAAACTATAGGCTATATTATTTTACTATAATATATATTATGAATTAAATTATATATTATATTGACGTTAAAGCTGATGAAGATAGCATGGAAATTATATATTATATTGACGTTAAAGCTGATGAAGATAGCATGGAGCTATCGATATATCAGTTTATATTTTTAATATTAAATGTGTTCCGCAATATATAT